TTACCAACTGAGTCATAGACAGTTAAGAGTTTTAACAGCATGTGGTTGAACTCACCTAAGTGCCTAAGAGAGGCACAAAGTTTCATGGGAGTCCAAAGGAGAGGAAGAACATTCCTGGCCCAGGATGGCAGAGAATCGGAAGAGACAATAAATAAACTAGGTTTTGAAAGATGGTTGGTAAAGATTTCAGCAGAGGGGAAAGGCGTTCCAAGTATGACAAGTGTGTAAGTCGACACCACAAAGAAAGGAAGAGCAACAGATATTCATGGATCAGTGAATTTACAACTGTACAACATTACTCTGTGGGGAGAGGGGAGGCGGGTGTGAAAGAGGTGGGTGGCAGATTATGGAGGGCTTTGAATGCTACCATAAGGAACTAGGTTATTGTTTGGTGGGTCACTGGAAAGATGGGATTAGATCAGTGTATTAGGAAAATTAGCCTTGCAGGAGTATATAGGATAAATTTGAGAGAGAAACTGGAAGTAGAGAGGCAATCTAAATAATCCAGATAACAGGTGATAAAGACCTGGATTCCATTGCCAAAAATGGTCATTTGTGAGAGAGATTCTGGAGCTAGAGTCAGTAGTACTTGGTAACATTAGATGTAGACGGTTAAAGGACATCAAGGAGGTCACTTCTGTTTGGGAGGAAGAATAATAGTGGTGAAATTATAGGAAAATAATACGAAAGTGAGCCCTTAGTACAGTGCCTGAGTTCAGTTTGGGACATATTGAGGTCGAGGATCCAACAGGGCACCTAACCTCTCATAATTCTAGTGCATTTAGATCTTTTTTATGGAAACCAGTGAACCAGTTTTGAGACTTACTGAGTGATGTGTGAGCCATTGATGGAAACCATTTCCACTGACCTCACATTTATGATAAGATAAGAATTAAAAATTTAGTTTTTAAGAACTTCATAAGTAGCTGTGAATGAATCAAATTCAGCAATTATTGAGCACTTACATTTATTAAGTATCTATTAAGAGCAAGGCCACAAGTTTGTCCATTACAAACTATTAGGTCCCAGAGTTATTGAGGGGAATGTTTGTATTTTGTTAGTGCTCTATTTTGAAGACACACTGGGACACACTCTTGTCTCTACATACTTGTTTCTATATAACATTGTTCTTGGCAAAGTTCAAACCAAGTTCAAATCCAGATGCACCAAGACAGATGAGTCCTCTCAGCTACTCCTGGCCTGGGACCAGAAGATTACTCCCTACCCCTCTGGGCATTAATGTTGCACTGCAAACCCAGACTCTAACACCAGGATGCCAAGGTGCCGTACTGACCTCTTGAAACTCACAGGATTGAGGTACTACTCCCTTTAACTAAAAGGAATACAAGGTTGAACTCGAAGCAGTAAAGGGTCAGATAAGGTCAAACAGAACTTTAAACCACCCCCCCCCCCCAAAAAAAATCCTGTTTCATACGCTGAAAGTTCAGTCTTCCTTCACTTGATGGGAATCCAAGAAAATAGGAGTCTTGGGTTCAGGTTTCAAGTAGAAGGGCATAAAGCTACCTATTCTTGACAGACGATAGATGGTTGTTCAATGATTTTTAGTCGTGTCTGACTCTTTGTGACACCATTAGGAGTTTTCTTGACAAAGATTTACCATTTCCTTCTCCAGCTGATTTTACAGATGAGCAGCTTAGGCAAACAGGATTAAGTGACTTGCCCAGGATCATACAGCTGGGAAGTGTCTGTGGCTGAATTTGAACTCAGGTCCTCCTGACTCCAAGGCTAGCATTCTAACCACAGTGCAACCTAGCTGCCAGATGATAGATAGATGGACAGACAGATAGATAGGCACAGATTACAAAGAGAAATTAGATAATAGATCATGTATTAAACACCATGTGCCTGGCACTATGCTAAGTTAATGGAACTTAATATACTTCTTAGGCAATGTTTTGGTAAGGAAGGACTGCACTTCTGGTCAGAAGCGTTGCCTTGATGATAGTGAAAGAGCATCCCACTCAGTGGTACCAATATCTTTGGCTTTTTCTTTAGGAGAAAGAAAAGAAAAGAAAAGAAATGGAATAATGGATCTAGGGATTATTCTTACATTCATTCACTTAAATATTTAAGTACCTATTGTAGAAAGGACATAAAGAAGTATCATCAAACAGGTTAAATATTAGTTTATAGTACCACAGATTTAAAGCTGGAAGGAACCTTACAGACCATCTAATAAAAACCCTTGATTTTACAAATGACAAAATTGAGGCAGAGACAAATTAGGTGATTTATGCAAGGTAATGATGGAGCTAGGATTTAACCTAGCTCCTCCGATACTAAAACCAGCCCTCTTTCCTCTATAATACACTGCTAGGACAAAAAAAAAAAGATACACATATAAAAAATAATACAAGAACAGGACAGAAATAGAAGATAACAATTAGTCAAATGTAATGAGCAATATCTAATGAAGCACCAAATGACAGACAATAAATACTTTGAATTCAGAGGAACAAGAGAAATCAATCAGCAAGCATTTATGAAACGTCTAGCACCGGGGTGGGGAACCTGGGCCTCCAGGCCACATGTGGCCCTCTAGGTCCTCAAGTGTGGCCCGTTGACAGAATCCAAACTTCACAGAACAAATCCCCTTGATAAAAGGATTTGCTAGACTCTAGTATGTGCCAGGCACTGTACTTGGTGATGAAGATACAAAGACAAAAAACAAACAAACGAACAACCCAAAATTGAAATAATCTCTGCCCTCAAGGAACTTAAATTCTATGGGGGAGCAAGGAAGCAATAATATACAGAATAGTATATACAAAATATATACTATACATAATATATAAATATAGCAATATACAGAAAAGTAAATGAAAAATATACTCAAAGTACATAAAAGGTTATTTCAGAGCATGGGGGGAGGGGCACATGAGCAGCTTAGGGTACTCAGGGAAGGTCTCCTGAAAGATGTTACTTTTGATGTAAGTTTTGAAGTAAGCTAAGGAAGGGAGTGAATTTCAGTCATGGGGGCTAGAGTGTGCAAGAAGAGAGGTGGAATATCTCCTACGGGATGGAAAACAGGTCAGTTTTGGTTGGAACATAGGGTCTGTAAAGGGGAGTAACTTGTAATAAGTGCACTTAGTACCTAGGCTGGAGTCAGTTTATGTAGGGCTTTAAATGCCAAACAGGAGGGCCTTGGTCTGGATGGAGTACAGAGCCAAGTGTATCCTTCTAGAGTTGAATTGGGCCCTTTAGGGAGAATCAGATTTGCATAAAAGTGGGAGGTAGGAGTTTGGAAGGACTTCTTGGGGGAGAGAGGGAGAGAGAAAAGAGAATCTGAACGAAGAAGGATCACACAGACACTTCTTCCTGCACAGCAATTTCTACAAATACTAATTAACTCTCACTTTGAACTTCATATGCTTCCAAATATTCTAAAACCTGGACTTTGTGAGAAAGCATATACTTTTCCACTGTAGAGGCAGACTAAGGCTCTACTTAGAATTTTCCTAATAACTTGAGTTATTTTCTTCAGACACTCCTGACTCAGTTCCTAGAATGAGCTAAGGTGGAGAAAGAATTCTTTGCTAATTTAGATAAACAATTAAAATAGTAAGTGATACTACTAAGTCTGTAAACCAAAAGAGATTTTTTTTAAAAAGGCTCTATACGTACAAAAATATTTATAGCAGCTTTTCTCTGGTGGCAAAGAATTGGAAATTGAGGGAATTCCCATCAATTGGGGAATTGCTGAACAAACTGGTATGTCATTCTGATGGAATACTATTGTGCTATAAGAAATGATGAGCGGTATGCTCTCAGAAAAACCTGGAAAGACTTACACGGGCTGAGGCAAAGTGAAATATCCTGTGTACAAAATAACTGAATATAGTAAGATGATCAGCAATTCTAAGCAATACAATGAGCCAAAGCACTCTGAAGGACTTCCGTTGAAAAATGCTATCCATCCCTAGAGAAAGTAACTGATGGTGTCTGAATACAGATTGAAGGATACTTTTTTAACTTTATTTTTCTTGGGTTTTTTTTTGGGGGGGAGCTATGTTTTCTTTCCCAACATGAAATGGAAATGTGTTGCATGACTACACATGTATAACTTATGTCTAATTGCTTGCCTGCAAAATTAAAGGGGCTTGGGGAGGGAGGAGGAATTTGGAATTCAAAGGGTTTTTTTAATTTATTTTTTTTAATTTTTTAACAGGAATTCAAAGTTTTAAAGAGGAATGTTAAAATTGTTTTAACATGTAATTGGGGGCAAGTAAAATATTAACTAATTTTTTAAAATAGTGATAAAAATGTCAAAAAAAACCCCACGCATTTTTTAAAAAAAGGATTCAAATTCAGCCCAGGCCAGTGGTAGCCGAAAGAATTCAGAACATTGCCTGAGCTCTTTCCTATTAATAACTCTCTTCTTCCCACGGCCAGATAAGTTTGTTGGGAGGCACAAGCGGCGGGGATTGTGTATGGGGAGCTTTCTTTCTCCAGGCAATCGCCAGAAATTCTTATCTTCTCTTCTCCGCAAGTCGAAGCCTCTGTCTTGGAAAGCAGCAGCTGTTAAGCAGTCGCGTCACTCAGCGCAACTCCGCCTATACCTGCATGGCTCTGGAAACGCACGCACTGTTCCCACCCCTAGTGTGCAGCCCGCAGGGCACTCTCCTAGAGTCATTCGTCCCTTGCTGCAGGCCGCACTGGAGCAGATTAACACCCTCGTGCAGGGCGGACCCAACCTTCGGATAGGAAAGGTGGCAGAGGCTGCATGGTCCCAGGCGCTGCGCCCTCTCCAGGGGCCTCCCCTCCCCAATTACAGACCCCCATTAGGCTTGGTGATATGGGGGAGGTGGTTCCCCAGAGGAGGAGGAGGAGAAGGAAGCAGCGAGGCGGAGCTTGCAAACCAAGGACCCCTCTTTGGGGACGTCACGGTCCCAGGTGGCCCTGTGGGCGTTTGGGGGAGGAGGAAAAGGCGAAGAGGGGTCAGTGAGCTCTTCCCAGAGCCTTTCCTAAACTCCACTTACCAGCCTGGCCCGAAGCACCATTATTTTCTAGGAGGGTGGGACACACCTGGTCACTGTCACCCACCTAGGAGCTAGGAGTGCGCCCCCAGAGAACGCACCGTCGGCGCCGCAGGAAAAGAGGGCGGTGCCGGCGCAAAGCGGGAGAAGGCAGAGGGCCAGGGAGGGACCTGCCCTGGGGCGGAGCGGGGCTGGGGGCGGGGGTAAGGGACAAGACTGGACGGGTCAGGACGGGACGGCACAGCCGCCCCGGGCACAGGACGCAGCTGGAGAGGATTCGGGTATGGCTGCGCACCGGGCGCTGGGAGCCCGGAGGCTGGGCGCGTTGCTGCTCCTGGTGAGTTGGGGTCCCCCCAGGGGTTTCCCCGGGCTGATGCACGCCCAGGCCTGCGCCCTGGGCGGAGGAGGGCGAGCCGCGCCCGGGACCTGTTTCTTCCAGCTCTATTGAGCTCATTTACGATCTTGCTTAATTGATTAATAACTTGCAGGAGCTGGGTTCATTTTGCGCTCCCGGAGGCTGGCTAAGGGCTGGGGCGAGATGGTATCTCGGGGAGTGCCCCAGCTGCCCAAAAACGGATCTTCCCGGGCAGGAAAGTGGGAGTCCGGGCTTGTCTGTGCCTCTCCTTGTTTGTCTTCCCGCCACACCCAGGCCGGGAGCCTCCTAATGCTCGGCTTCTGGAGCCAGGGCTGCCCCGCACCTGGGTGGGCGCACAGAAGCCAGTTGGGTTCCCCTTTCTGTATCCGGGGGGGGGGAGGAGAAGGCAGGGCAGTTATTAACCCGGAGCCCCGTCCCTATCCTTGAGATACATAAAGGGAGCCTTTACCTAGGCTGCCCACGCCCAGGCAGTCAGGCCCATGGAGCACTGGGGCCAAAGCCAAGTAGTTTAGTTTCAATCAGTGGCACTCAGCAAGCGTGTATTAAGCTCCTACTATGTTCCAGACAGTTGTAGATGCTGGGGGCGGGGGGCGGGGGTGGGTTGGGGGTGTGAGGATAAAGACAAAAGGAACCCTGTTCGGCCATCTTCCTTCTTTAAAGGGAGATAAAAATTATTGCATATTCACACTGTTAAACCTGTATAACTTTAAAATTGTGTTTCATTCCTATCTCAAGAAAGAACAAACAAAAGTTCTTGTTAGTATAAAAAGATAGGAAACATCGAGAAAAGTAATTGAACACAGAGTCTGGGACTTTTTTTTGATGTTTAATATTTATTAGTTACAAATAACTCATTCTAGATTTAGGATATAAATAATTTGGTTTTCATAAATTTATTTTTAATTTTTTTATTCCTTGTCAAAGCAGTGGTCATAGACGACCCTGAGAACTGCATATGCTGGTTACCTATGACATTTTTAAAAAACGGATATAGCTGTTAATGACATGCCCTTGGGCCTTTCCAAGCACTTTGCTGCTCTGTGTGTGTGTGTGTGTGTGTGTGTGTGTGTGTGTGTGTGTTTTAATTCTAGGTATCCTGTTTGTGCCATTCTTCTACTATATAACATATATAAAATATAATATATATTATAATACAAGCTCTGTGAGGGCAGGGACCAGTCACCTAGATTTTGTATCTTCCTCATTGATCCCCTAGAACAATGCTCATTTTAAGGTCAAAGAAAAATAACACTCTTCACAGTGAAAAGTCTAGGATTTTTGTTGTTGAGTTCTTTCAGTCATGTCCAACTTTTCCTGACCTCATTTATGGTTTTCTTGGCAAAGATACTGGAGTGGTTTTTCATTTCCTTCTCTAGCTCATTTTACAGATGAGATAACTGCAGTAAACAGGGTTAAGTGACTTGTCCAGGGCCACACAGCTAATAAGTGTCTGAGGTTAGATTTGTACTCAGGAAGATGAGTCTTCCTGACTCCAGGCCAGGCACTCTATCCACAGTACCACCTAGCTTCCTCTTAGGCTAGGATTAGGGGTTCTTTAACCTGGAATCCTATTAACTTGTGTGTGTGTGGTTTTTTGTATATTTTGATAACAAGATTTAAATATAATTTGTTTCCTTTGTAATCCTATGTATTTTATGTAATGAAAGTAATTATCCTAAGAAGGAAGGGGTCCCCTGGCCTAGGTGGCCCATAATTCTTAAACTTAGTTTCCATTCTCAAAATTGGAATTGTCTCTCCAAACAAATAGTGCTTAAGAGTAAAATATAAAGACAAGGGGGAATAGTTTGTTCCTTTGAATGTAAGCTCCTTAAAGTCAGACTCATTTCTTGTCTCTCTGATCTCTAACACTTAGAACAATGCCTGACAGATATGAGACACTAAATGAATACTTGATTGAATCTGGCAGAAATAGTCTATTTGGTTTTTACTGTTTAAAAAGTCTGTGTATTTTGTACTTAAGGCAAAGAGTCAAAAAATTTATAAAATATTGTTACCTGTTTTGTGGAAATCATTTTAGCCAGAAATACATGAATATGAGTGTGGGGGAGTATGTTTGCTTTTGAAGGATTCTCTGGCCTCATACGGGGGTAGCTGAAAAGATGAAGAATACTCAACTCCAAATGACTGCAAATAGTTGTTTGAATTAGCTTTGGTAAATAATAAAACTAAATTATTGTTGTTGAGTTGTTTCTAACTCTTCATGACCCTATTTGGGATTTTCTTGGCAAAGATACTAGAGTGGTTTGGCATTTCCTTCTGCAGGTCATTTACAGATGAGGAAACTGAGGCAAACAGGGTTGAGTGACTTGCCTAGGGTCACATAGCCAGTAAATGTCATAGGTCGGATTTGAACTCAGGAAGATGAGTCTTCCTGACTCCAGGTCCAGTGCTCTTTCCACTGTTCCGCCCAAAATTAAATCAGCATTGCTTTATTACATGTTAATAAAGTAATTTTAATCTGTTGCTTCTAAATGGAATGATACTTAGCTTTTATAAATAGCCTTATATTTATTTCTGAAGTAATATGTTTATATCAACTTACAAAAATTTATTTTTAGAGGAAAAAAAACCAATGAAATCAAGTCCTACTGTTATGTGATTTAAATTAAATTATGCTTGACTGGAATTGTGAGCAATTATCCTCTAAATCTCAATCAATCTCTCTCTCTTTCTCTCTCTGTCTCTGTCTCTCTCTCTCTCTCTCTCTGTCTCTCTCTCTCCCTCCCTCTCTCTCTCTCCCCTTGAATTATCTAAGTAATTCCCTCAATTCTTCACCACTTTTTTCTTGCATTATCCAAACAATTCATCAACCCTCCATTTTACCCATCTTAAAGTCAAAGCCCTTACACATTCAGACATTGTTATAAAACCTTTATGACTTTAAAATTGTGTTTCATTCCTATCTCAAGAAAGAGCAAAGCAAACAAAAATTCTCGGTATTGTATAAATATAGTAAACATAAGGGGGAAGCTAGGTGGCGAAGTGGATAGAGCACAGGCCTTGAAATCAGGAGGACCTGTGTTCAGATCAGGCCTCAGACCAAACACTTGACACTTACTAGCTGAGCGACCCTGGGCAAGTCACTTAACCCCAATTGCCTTAAAAAAAAATAGTAAACAGAGATTAGTAAGTGAACGTGGTACTTAGGACATTTTTGGTGTTTAATGTTTATTAGTTACTACTAATTAAGAAAATATATGATAATGAACTAATTCAAGGCTTGGGATGAGCCTACCAAAAGGAAAGTACATACCAGAGGAAAAATGCATGCTTAATTTAACATATTTTTGACTCTAGCAACTCAAGCTTTTCCATTTGTATTGAATTTTTTAACTGTGGAATTTTTAATATGTTGTTGTAAGATGTGTAGTCAGTCAGCTAATTGTGACAGGTACGTATTTAACACTGGGGATACAAAGAAAGGAGAAAAAAAATTCCCTGCTCTTAATGGGGGAATAGGAAAATTCTTGGTTTCCCACACTTATCAATTATATCAGCACTCATCTGGTCACAGATTTAGAGTGTGAAAGGATCTTAGAAACTACTTAACCCACCTTTGTTTTACAGCTGAGGAAACTGAAGCCCAAAGTGGTGAATGACTTCCCTGAGTTTATACTGGTAGTAAGTAGTAAAGCTGGGGTTTGAAAGTAGGACCTCTGGCTTACTCCAGAGCTCTTTGCACTGAACACGCTGCCTCCTCATTAATTTTTTAAATGCCATATTAATCTACTTATTTTTAGGCAAGATTAGCTAGCTCATGTATTTTCACATACTAGATTTAGCAACCAAAGTGTGACCCATGGAAAAGAATGCTTAACTAAAAAATCACTGTCTGATGTCTGGGTACTAGCAAGCCTAGCTAAGAATCAAGAGGCTTATTATCCACTTCAGTTTGGCATATCAGTGATGAATTCTTCAGATTACAAATGATGTTTCAATAAAGCAGAAGGGTTTTTAGTAAGTAGTCATAGTAAGTATAATCTACAAAAGGAAATTTTTACCAATTATCATTTAAGCTAAATTTCATGTTTGTGAAATTACTCCCCCGTGTGTGTGTGTATATGTATGATATATATATATATATATATATCATACATATACATATATACACACAAAATTGTATGTACATTCCAGTCCTCAAATAAATTTCCTGCTAAAATATCTCATAAATGCAGTTAAAAATAAAATTTTTGGCTAGAATATTCTCACTGACCTCAGTTCTTAATTTGGCTGATAAAGGTTTGTCCTTTAAATATATGAAAATGCATTTAAAATTCAGTGTACAAAAATTGTCTTTTAATGAATATGTAAAAATAATATTTGGTTAATTTCAGTAATAATAATTGCTGGCATTTTATAGCACTTTGAGGATGCTAAAGTAGTTTATCCTTACAACAACCTTGGGAGGTAAGTGATATTATCCCCATTTTATAGATGAGAGGCAACTGAGGCTGACTAAGGTTAAGTGACTTGCTCAGGGTCACACAGCTACTAAGTACTGAAACTCAGATTTGAACTTAGCTCTTCTTGACACCAGGTTCTGCCTTCTATCTACTGTGCTACCATCAGTATTGATCTCTGAACATTAATATTGTATAAACCCTAAAATAATGGCTTATTAGAGATAAATATAATTTAATTTAACCTAGAAATAAATTTGTTCATAAGACCACAGATTTCTAGGTGATAAGGA